GTCAAAATGCATGTAGGAGCATAGTCAAGTGCCAATGTCATCATATACTTTGCAAGCCAACTAGAGAATGTCTGAAAATTATATTTTTCTTCTGTAAAAAGAAGAAAACAGCTCACATGATTGTGCGTTTCAACTTGGAAATCACAGACAGAAGGCTGCAGTCTTCTTTGTGTGAGATTGATAAAAGATCAGAAATGGTGCCTTGTGAAGGCCCTAGTGCACCAGATGCATTTATGAGTGAGGAAACCAAGGGCAGTAGATATAGTTGATGGATCTTATGGTCTTAGTGAAGTGCTAAAAGGATGCATGTAAGCAGAGCTTGATATGAGGAATGCATTCTTAACCTTTGTATTTCTTGTTCTCATGGATTTTTTTTTCACATTAACTACAATGAGAAATTACTTTGATGAGTTAAATGTGATGTTGGTGCAGAAATGATGAGAGTAAATTTTTACTAGGGATGTTTGTCTTGGCACTGTGTAGTTCAAACTAAGATTTGTCAACAAGTTGGAAAGAATAAAAATTGACCTGAGGCCATTTTTTACACTGCTGATGCAGACAATCTACATTGGAGTTGCCTATTCATCTGGTGTTACCCATGAAGTTGATTCTTTGAGCACCTGCTTCTTTGCTCACTGCTAGATTTGTGGAAATCTTCCAGTTTCTTGGTATGTCATAATCTTCTTCTTTTGCTGCTGGATCAACTTTAAGAGACATTTTGTTCATGAAACCCCTCTTTGGTAATCCCATTAAAAACCAACAGGTGATTAAACAATTATCTTGTGCAGGTCTTCATATCATGTTGCCTGATGTGTGAGACCACACTCTTACCTCTCTGCTTGAAAAATATGAGAAAGATTGAAGTCTTGGTGACATGTTGCAACATGGAAATCATTTGATTTCTGAGACTGAAGCGATATAAGACCATCGTTCAAAGCTTACTAAATATATATGTAGTTTATGTTTTCTATCAAATATTTACTGAAACGTATACTTGTAAAATCTTGAGTTAAATACTTCATTTAATCTATTTTTAAGGGATCATAAAATGTTTAGGAAAGATTAATCTTTTACGAATAGACATGTAAGAGTGTCATAAAATTTAAACAAAACCAATTAAGCTCTTAACAGATGGATTAAAATTATATTTAATCATAAATTTTGATTTAATATTCCGAAGAAACATACTTATGATGATGACTACACTAACCATAACGATTCATCACGTTATCATGCAATTTAAATATGGCCTCACGCTAGAAATTGGTTTCTTTTGTGAAAATATACGGCAGAAACAGGCACTCCTCAGTATCACTTTTTGCCAAAGCAGCTCAAAAGAGGATCATTATGGTGCCCCTTCGACGGAGACCGATGCTAATGTGGTCAAACGTGGAGTCAACGTTACTTCTGCCCATAACGCAGTGTTGCAATCGATCACATACCAATAATGATTCAAGATTTCCAAGAGTCAAGGTCCAGTCTTTGAGAAGATAAAGTGGGAGCGATCGTCAAGGACAAGCTGGGGACAAAAATAAAAGTAAAGTTCTGATTGATATTACTCCATTGGATTATCTCTTTTCATCCATAGAAAGGCTTTTCCCTTCATTATAATATCATTTTCTTCTGGGACTCCACAGGCCTTATCGATCTCCTTTCTTCTCTTCTCTTTTTCTTCCAAAGGAGCTTTGCCACCACAACACCAAACCGAGCCCATCTTGTCTTGCTTCTGCACTCAGCTGGTTTGGGTTTAACAACCAAGGCCAAGCTTTGACGGTTCCAGACGTTTGCTTTGCTCCTTCGAGGTTTGTGCCATGTCCTGTGGATGGTGGAATTCTGATTCCTTTGTGCTGTGTGCTTGCTGTAGGAGTGTTCAAGTGTAGTAGTTAACCTAAGCATGAGCTCAAAGATGACTTTTTACAGCAGCACATGGAATCATTTCGTATGCATTCGTATAGGTAGAGAGAGCTTCCTTCTTTTCAAGGACATGAAGCTTTTTGTCTTAGTCTCTGCTGGGTCGGGTCATTTGCAGCTGCATCGAGCAGGCGGAGAGAAGTCACAAGGCCGGAGCGCCTCAGGAAATGGACATGGATGGGACTGTAGCGCGACACCTCTCCCCGTCCACAGGCTGTGCGTCATGATTCCTCCTAATAGGTTCATGAGAAGCAGCAGTGAGTATGGGTTTGGCATCGGTCCCAGGCATCAGAAGTTGTTGCTCCATGCATCCCCAGGAAGAGACAGAAAGGTTACGTTCAAAACGCCCTCTCGGTGAGTCAGAGACAGGTGGTCACCTTGGGCTCTACGTTGGCCGGAGAGAAGACTATGTGTCAAGCTTTGAAGTTTGAGTTCCTCCGGACTCTTGCACGTCAACCTCCTTCCACCTGCGACGCACCTGTGGGCCTTGTAAACCCCTAGTGAACATATTAGTTGCATGGGAAGTGAAGCAAAGGTGCTGTGCAAGTGTTGTGCTCTCTGCTGATCCATTGCACCTCCTGTCTGCGTAAACAATACACTCTCGGTCAAGATGCATCATGTGGTCGATCGTACGAGTATGTCCTCGCTCATCAACGGAGGGTCCCCTCGAGTACCCCCCATGTTGCCTCTCCGAGTGGCTCGCCTACTCTTGGCACGGAGGCAGAGAAGGGAGCTGCTGCAACACGAGACTCCGTCCATGGAAGAAAGGCCGCGAGAACCTTGTGAAGAACTCGACTGCCATTTGTTGCAGTCGGCTGTCAGTTTTGGAGCTTGTTGTGTCGACTTAGGGGTGTCGGTAGACCATAACAGTGATCTACCGGGTAAAGATCTAGCTCGATGGATTCCTATTCGAGCGTGGTTAGATTCTGCCCAATGTTAGAAAGATGAGATCGATGGTTAAGATCGTCTCGTGGACCCCACCGCGGTGCCTCCGACGTTGGGATTGGTCAAAAAAGCTACAAGAAACAAAAATGGAGAGACCCCTCTGCAGTACCAACTTTTGCCGGACCGGCACGTCCAAAAGATGGCCCCCTCCGCCTCCGGCAATCCGACACCGCCAAAGTAGTGTCCCAACCCCGTCCTCGTGATGCCATCTGTCCCCTCCCCGCCCCCGGGTCATCACGATCACCGCCACCCTAAACCATAGCCTGCACCTCTCTTTCCACCGAACAAATAATGTTACTTAGGCTCCCACTTAAGTGGGAATTTGGTGTAGGCAGCTTTCCCTCCTCTTTTTAAACCCCCGCCCCTCGTCCAAATGAACACCAGCCGCATCGCCACCCTCCCACCTGTGGTCAGAGGATCAAGCAGAAGATTCACCTGAATCTTTTGGTTAGTGCTGCATCTTTTCCTCTTTAATGCCTTCTTGAATGCTTCCCTTCCATGTATGTGACCCTCTCATAATTTGGCTGCCACGCAGCAGCGGCAGTGACAGTGGAGATTCGGTACGTGGGTTGGTAGAATGTTGCCCGTGGAGACCGGCAAGGCGGTGCGGGAGACGAGGATGGAGAACGGCGGCGGAGACTCGACGACGCTGAGCACGAGAACGGCGGCAGAGGTGCGAGCTATCAGAAGCCATAGCGAGGCGGAGAGGAGACGGAGGCAGCGGATCAACGGCCACCTCGCCACCCTCAGGAGCCTGCTCCCCGCGGCCACCAGAGTAAGTTCCACGGATCCATCCACGCTTCTACTTGCTTTACGGAATCGAAGTTTGGCCCCTGTTAACCGACCGCGTGGGTACAGTTGGACAAGGCGGCGCTGCTGGGGGAGGTGGTGAGGCAGGTGCGGGAGCTGAGGGGGAGGGTGGAGGAGGTGGCGGTGGTGGTGCCCGGGGAGGGGGACGAGGTCGGGGTAGAGGAGGGAGAGGAGAGCGGAGGGAGGGTGGTCCGAGCGTGGGTGTGCTGTGCGGACAGGCCCGGTCTGATGGGGGAGCTGAGCCGGGCGGTCCGGTCGGTCCGTGCCAGGGCGGTTCGGGTGGAGATGGTCACGGTCGGGGGACGAACTCGGAGCCTTCTGGAGTTGGAGGTCGGCGAGGCGGAGAAAGGAGACGGGCGGTCCGCGCTGCAGGCCGCTCTCTGGGCCGTCCTGCTTACGAACCGAGCCGGTCCGGGCGAGAACTACTGCAAGCGGGCTCGCATGTCCACCCGGTTTAATAGGACATAGTTTCCAATTCCACGCATGCTCTTTTAGTAGCGATAGCAATGGAAATGTCAGAAGTGCTTGGTAGATAACATATAAGAGAAGTTTGCTGTTTTAGCTTAAATTACGTGCAATGTGCATATCAAGAATCACATCTCAGCTAGTTGTTCAGATGGGTTTGCCAAATGATTCAATGGTGTCTCTGTTTTATGGGTTAATCTTTGACATAATCATTAAGTACGTATAGACTGACTAATCTCAAAAAGATAATATTGGCTATCCTTATATTGCATAACAACAACAACAAAACCATCCAATTCTGATTTTAAAGGTTCGACATTTCTAGAGCTCCTTACAACAGTGAGTCTAAACCATTTTATATAATCAGATGAAACACTAATGTGCATTCTTACTTGTGTTCCTCATCGTTCCCCGAGACAACCATGCAGAATGTATTGGTTTTCCCAGCCGTTCATTCCATATGGTTCTCCATTGTCACTGCACTGATACTGGTCTCCAAGTTGCATGAATGTCCAGTTAAAAGGGATGATCGACAGTCACCTTGAATGATAAGGCATGGATCTTTGACCTAGTTTCCCAATGATAAGGCTTGACAGTCAAAAATATATATACTACAACCAAACACTTGCATGACATTGTCGAACATAGTGAACAGCATATTTCTTAGCCTTATTGAACCAACACTGAAGTATATAGACATCAAAATATTTTCCTATTTGAGATGAATAAAGGTTGAGGACATTATCGATTCATCGTTTCCATCATATTAACATCGATTGCTTAGCATTGAATACAAATCCACAGATTGTGGTCGTTCGATCAACAATTTCCCTTACACCATCTCAGACTAAAATGGCAGCATCCCAATTTTATGTGGGCCTAAAAAGGACTGATAATTGAGTCAGTAACTTCAATTACTTGACACTACGAATCCAAATAAGCGGAGTCTCGAGGACTTCCCCGGTGCAGTAACGACGGAATAAGATTACTACACAACAGCTAGAGCGTTTAAGAGTAATATTGATAAGGCGGCAGCGGCGGCGGCGAAGACGGCCGCGGTGGTCTGGAGATGGGTGCCAGAATGACTGACGACGATAGGTGGCGACTGGAGATGGACACGCCGCAGGGCTCAGACGAACTAGCCGCCACTGACCCGTGGTTGCGCTGCTGTTGATGCTCCTGTTGCTGATGCTGCTGGTTTTGGTGATGGAGGTGCTGTTCCTGCTCTTCTACTTCACCAGCAGCTCCGACGTCGCCGCCGAAAACCGAGATCGACAACGACGCATCGTCCTCTGCTGGCAACCGGTGGAAGGTCGGATTTAAGAACGCCGCCGCTACGATGACCACTGTCTCCGCAGCCAACAGCGGCCCAACCACCAGCCCACCCATGACCTGCCCCTGCGGCCCGGCCAGCGAGATCGACATTTGACCGCTGATCCCCGGGGAAAGAGCCGCAACGGCCGGAGAGAGGAACGTCGCGGAAATGGATAGGATCTCGAATCGCCCGTGAAATCCGATGGTCGCAGCAGCCGCCGTAGGCACCCCGCCAATGTTCGACTGGCGGAGGGTGACGTTGGCGACGGAACCGGTTCCTGCGAGGACACAGAGACCGAGGTCGCGGCGGCGGGCGAAGCGCGCAATCGCGTCAGCCACGTCCTTCCCGGCGGGTATCTCGAGCAAGTGCGGGCGCATGGCCGCCGGCGTCTCCGCCTTTTGCGTAATCACCACGGGCGGCTTAGGCTTGTTCTTGGAGCCCAGAGGCCGCCCTCGACGCCGCTTCACCACCTCAAAAATTGCACCATCTCCTCCTCCATCACAACTAGCACCGCTGCTGCCATTAACCACCACCACAGCTTTCTGCGAGTCATGTTCGACGTCGGCTTTTGGCTCGTTGATCTCTCCACTGCTCCTCGCGCGGACGACTTCGTCCGGAAGGCATTCTTTCCAGAGTTGCTGCTGCTGGCGTCCTTGATGTTGTTGGAGGTTGTGCTGCTGAAAGCGAAGGATGACATCTTTCCTGCTGTCCTTGTTCTTCATGTTGTTGTCCAAGAAGCTATCAAAGAACATACAGATAGATGAATTTGAGTTAGTAGAAGAAGAGATTGACGAGGTAGAATGGAGGAAGAAGAGAAGAGGAGAAGAAAAGGTGCTGAAGCTTGACGGTCTCCTCGCCTGTCGGAGTCTGGAGCTCCTCACTGCCTTGTTTGTTGAGAGGGGTGAGATGGGAGGGTGATGATACAGGAGACTTCCAAATGGAGTTATGGAAACTTGGAGAGGGACATGGACGTGTTTGTGCTGAACATGACCGCTCAAGCCTGTCAGACTCCGGGCTGGCAAAGTGATGACCGTGGTGGGGCTGGTGACCTTGTGCATCAGCTGCTACTGCATGCACAAAAGCTGCTCCGCCCGCCCACATCTTTTGACGCGAAGGAAGAAGAAAGAACGTGATCCATTTCTTTCTATCTAATTTATATCGATAGTAAAACTTACTACTATTAGGTTTTCAGGTATTGCATCTGATTTGAAGTATCAAAAGCAAAAATTGAAACAAAATGAGATCATGGACTCCTACACAAACTCCATGATTTCGTGGCCTGAGGTATCATCGCCTTCTTTCTTATCCTGCCGTGCGAAGTTAAGCTCTAATGCATCCTTCTACTAGTCGTAGGGTTGAGCAACGGAGGCTTTGATCAGTATGATTGCGAAGCACGAATACACGGCTGCATGAACACGATTCAGCCTCAGGCCGTCTTCTGTATAGCGTTGCGGCGTGCTTTTTCTGGGGTCAACTGAGGCATCGTATCGTAATATGTGGAGTGAGTTCATGCAATGATTTCGGAGACACTGGATTGAAGATTGGGTCCACCGGTGAGATGACAGCAGATCTATCATCAATCTCAAATCTAAGCTACGTGACAAAGCAAAGTCGAAGAGATAGAATTGTTCGGCATTAGAATTCATATCTCTCTAACGGTGCTTATTGGAGTTTACATGTTCCGTAAGGATAAAATAACCTACTGGTCACACATCTCGATCAAACAAACTCGTTCCTAAATCGTGCACCTCGATTATGAGTCGTTGATTATGAGTATGAAAACTAAGACTCATAAATCCTCGCGCACGAGCTTACGGGTTCAATTGATCGAACTACATGTTTAATTTTAAAAGATATTACATGATTTAACATTTTACATAATAAAAATATATAATATTAAAATTACTTTAAAAATATATAGAAAATATCAAAAATAATAATATCGATTAACATTCTAAACATAAACGATAATCGGAAAGTGACAAAATATTAATAGTAATTACACTAATCCAATCCAAAATCAATTGTTGAATGATATAAAATAAATATTTTATCCAATATAATAGACAAGACTTAAATAGCACATGCATATAAATTATTGATTACGATGGATCCTTTTGTAGTCACCAAAATCTTCAAACTCGATTTTGTTTGTTGGAATATATCAGTCGTTCTGCTCATCTTCAATTTGGTCCTCAAATCCATTTCTTTTAATAACGAGATCTCTCTCTCTCTCTCTCTCTCTCTCTCTCTCTCTCTCTCTCTCTCTCTATATATATATATATATATATATCTCTCTCTTTCTTTCTTCATGATTATTAAAATCCAAGCCATCAATATTGTATATCATATTTATGTGAGACTAACCCTAATTTTATGATTGACATAAATATTCTCTTAAATAAATAAAAAATATTTAAGTTAAAAAAAATGTGAATTATTTAAAATTTATGTAAGAGAATATATAAGGAAAGTTAATAATTGAGTATGGATAACTTACGATCTTATAATCGATTCAATAAAAAAAATAATTTTCTTCGTATGTATAAATAGAAAGTGCTGAATAGTACGAATCTTATATTTATTTTCTTGATATACTTTTAGTTGTCGATTATTTAGGATTTACGTGAGAGATTATACAAGGAGGGTTAATCACTCATGCAATAATGTTTCATGGTATGCTTTGGCTTTAGTCAATGGCCTAAGAGTCTCGAGGGATAGATAGTCTCTACCGGAATATGTCACAAGATAGATAACCTCAACTTTTAATGTACATAAATCTTATATTTACATATAATTAATTTTCATCTCTTAAATGAAAAGATAATGAACAGTCGAGATGAGTAGTATGAGTAAGATGGACGGTGAGTTTTGAAGGACTCCTCGTACGCGGAAGTTGGGAACTGTCCTTCTCGACCGTTCGATCTCGATCTATCACCTGATCCAACGGGCGAAGAATCGCATGAGCATGAGTTGATGCTACTACTACGATGAATGGTTTTAAACGCATCCAATGGCGACGGGCTCTTCCTCCGCCGGGGAGTCCGCCACCCGTCTCAACCTCTCTCTTTCTATTTCTACTTCCCTTTCCTTTACTGGCTTCGTCTCCCACCGCTCCTTCCCTTCACTCGCCTTTTTGGCCTCTTATAAGTAGCGGGCGCCCCTTCTCCGACTCGGCCTTGGAGTTCGGCGTATGTCGTCTCTGAGTTGCTGCGTCCCTCGTCGCCTCGTCTCCACTGAGATCAAGCATCGAAAGCACTCGCAAAGGTGCCTCCTTTCTCCGCCTTCTGCTTCCAAAGGCGAGGTCTCGTCGGTCTCTGCCCGCCAAAACGACCATCTTTTTGTTGATTGATTGAAGAGAGAGATGAGTCTTAAAGGATTCGTGGAGGGAGGCATCGCGGCCGTCGTCGCCGGGTGCAGCACCCACCCGCTGGACCTCATCAAGGTCCGAATGCAGCTGCAGGGAGAGACACTCGGCCCCGCCGTCGCGTTCCAGAGCGGCGCCGGAGCCGCCTCCCTTCCGCATCGCCCGGCCGTGACGACGCCTCCGCCCAAGCGCCTCGGGCCGATAGCGGTGGGCACGCAGATCCTGCGGTCCGAGGGCGTCGCTGCCCTGTTCACCGGTGTCTCCGCCACTATGCTCCGCCAGTCGCTCTACTCCACCACCCGGCTTGGCCTCTACGACGTGCTGAAGAAGAAGTGGTCTCCTGCCGGCGACGGCGCCTCCCTTCCGATCCATTTAAAGGTGGCCGCGGGCCTCTTTGCGGGCGGGGTGGGCGCCGCCGTCGGGAACCCAGCGGACGTGGCCATGGTCCGGATGCAAGCCGACGGGCGGCTTCCCCCAGCGGAGCGCCGAAACTACCGGAGCGTTCTGGACGCTATCCAGCGGATGGCGCGGCAGGAGGGGGTGGGCAGCCTGTGGCGGGGGTCGTCTCTGACGGTGAACCGGGCGATGATCGTGACTGCGTCGCAGCTGGCGACGTACGACCAGGCGAAGGAGGCGATCCTGCGGCGGCGCGGGGCGGGGGCGGACGGGCTAGGGACGCACGTGGCGGCGAGCCTGGTCGCGGGGTTGGTGGCGTCGGCGGCGTCGAACCCGGTAGATGTGGTGAAGACGCGGGTGATGAACATGAAGGTGGAGGCGGGGACCCAGCCGCCATACGCCGGGGCGGCGGACTGTGCCCTGAAGACGGTGAGGGCGGAGGGACCGATGGCGCTCTTCAAGGGCTTCGTCCCCACCGTGTCTCGCCAGGGCCCGTACACCGTCGTTCTTTTCATCACCCTCGAGCAGATCCGCAAACTCCTCGAGGACTTCTAAGCTCTCCTCACTGCCCTCCGATCTCGATCGAATGGACAACATAGCATACGAACCATAACACATGACGATGATGATGATTAAAATGATGTTTTCGTTACTGGTCTATAGTTTGGTAGAATTAGTTCTATTTTGGTGCCTTTGAATCCGTAATGAATCATTAATTACCATTAATAAGTGATTAATATGCTTTCCTTTGTGAGGATTGTGTGATTTTAATTATCAAAGGAGATGCCAGAGATTCTCTTCATATATGACCACTGCAGTCTAAATTTGATTGGAACTATATATATGTATACATATATATAGATATATGTATACATATATATAGATATATGTATATATATATACATATATACATATACATATATACATATATATACACACATATATATACATATTTATATATAGTCATTTATATATAGGCCTACTATATCTCACCTATTAAATTTAATCAAAGAAAAACTCAAATTGATTATAATTAATCATGACTATGGAAAATTATTATATTAGAATATCAAATATTTAATAATCTTGGAATTTTACCATTGCAAGAAAGAACTCAGTTAAAGTTCTAATCTTTCTGTCATTGTCGACTAACTAAGATTAACTATACTGGCATAAATAAATATATATTGGTTTGCCAAATGTCTTCAGATCTGCAAAGTGGAAGGAGGAGATCACTAAATAACATTTGATGCTTGTGGAAGCCACGACTTGTCGTGGGGTATTGTTTTCTCTTTGTTACCTCTAGTTTATGAACCTGCCTTTTTTTGCAGCTTTTTAGTGTGATTCTACCATCAGATGAACTTTCTTTATTGCGATTCTGCAAATTGATGTTATCTTCTTAACAAGGACATTAGTAATATGCATGACTAATCATCCTCAATTGTGTAGGGTTCCATCTTTTTGTTGTGGTAGTGCTAGTGTTCAAGAACACACCCAAGAGGAAAGCATGGATGCGTGCTCTTTAGGTTTTTATGTCTAGTTTTTTATTCCATTAATTGATGTACACATTAGAGACTCATTTCTCCACTAAGCTCTAGTGGAGCATGCACACTTGCCCATGATCTTGACAAGGTTGGTGTCATCTACATGTGCAGCTCTGTTTATATTGACAAGATGAGTGCTCACTTTGTGTGTCTAAAGCTTCCCTAGGAAACAATTCAGCTTTAGTACACAAATTTGTCATTTACATAGCTTCCAAATCCACAAGATTAGAGATCAATTACACTTTGATTGTTGAAGGTGATCACCTGAAGTTGATGCTACAAACGAATGGCTCGACTTGCTCAACGTTCACATTTGATTTGGTGGTCACTGGTTCCTGCATTATGCGATAGATAATGTGCAACAAGACAAGTGTAGTTTGAAGATGTTACAGAAATAACCAGAATCCATGGAGCAGAAAAAGCATTGCCTCGATACAACTACTGAGTCTGATGCAACTCTGTAGCATCCTTTTCATGGGCAGTCACTTTAGGGTTACAAGTGCAGATGCAACTCTGTAGCATGAAAGTTCCTCAAAAATAAAAAAACCAACTTCCAAAGATTAAAATGAAAACAGTTGTTGCATGGTAAGCAAGAATGCTCGACATTAGTCAGACAACTAAATACACATTTATAATCACTGCTTAATACCCTTAGGAATACTTATAATAGCAACTCCTATCTAATAGCATTGGCATCTGATGCACCTTAATTCCCATGGTACATATAACACCGGAAAAACTCTCCATCTAAAAGAATCTTTAGAATAGCATAAAGAGCTAGGTTGAGAACTTCTCTGTTCTGCTACACATTAGTAAGCAGCTCATATCGATCTTGTGTCTGTACAAATAACCATAAGCTAGCTGCCAAGGAAGCATCCTTTTCACTCTCTTGTTATTTAGAGATCATCACATGGTTCCATCTACAAATTGCAGGTCTGTCGCTAACCATTTTTGGGAGGATACTACCAAAAGCTCATGTGTAGCAAATACTTGTCTTCAGATATATATATATACAACTTAATAGTAGAAGTTGGAATTATTCTGAACAGGTGCATCCTTGCAGAGCACTGAACGCACCTCCAAGATTGATCTGGGAGGTTCCAAATCTTGGTCTTGCAGCATGTTACCAAGTAGCTGTTGCATCTGAGATGCAAACGTGTCATCCAAAACCTGCACCATAGTTTGAAAGAACTAATAGTAAATCAATACTTATAGGTCCACAGATGTAGGTCATAACATTTGACAGACTTGTACATTAGAAAGTTGGCAGTTAAAAACCATGATGGTACTTACAGCAATTGCAACTCGTGAACCTTTATACCATGCCCTGTTCTCTTTCCTATTCTCCAGAAATTTAAGAACATCCTGTAACAAGAGACAGCATATCAATTATGTAAGCATACAATATGCAAACCATGAACAAGCCAGGAAGATTCCATGAAGCATTACCTGTCCCATCCTATCCCATAAGCCGCGACATGTTGCGACAAATACATGAACCTCAAATACTTTATGGAGGCTGTTGATGGTCTGAATTAGCTGATCCTTTAAGGGCTGCATTCTACTACGAATAACAGACTCCACCAGATCTTTCGAGTCTTGGATGATCTTCTTGAGCTTTGTCGTGTTTTGTGCTCGAGTCTGCACATACCAAACAATTAAATAAGTGTGATGAAAGTAACCACATCAGTAAATTCTTTGCTTCAAAATGAAAGGATAAAATCACAAAAAGATGGTCATCATAAAGATATTAATACAAATAGCAATAAATTTATGGGACCATTTATTGTTTTTTCAATGAGAATGGGTGCAAGAATGAATTTGATAAATGTGAGTCACGACTCTGTTGCAGCAGTGGCATATATTAGATTTTCATTGTTTCTTTTCAAGACATTCTCCTGCACAATAAATATCTAATTGTTTTTAGCATCAACTTAATTAGTTGAACGTCACCCATAATGTCATTTCAAATTCACCAAGTTTCTCTACTAGAAAATAAAAAAAGCAGAAACAATACTCACATTCTCCATGAGCTTTTCTACTACAGCCTGCAAATAATTCCTGAACTTCGCTCTCAATGTCACAGTCACTTCGCTGAGGCATTCACCAGCAACTGCATTCCCACCATGAGGTATACAAGAACCCCATGATTTAAACTGCATTTCTATCTTGGGTCGTAAGACATCGAGCAACCTTTTCATGGTGTTCAAAAGAATCCCTAGCTGAAAATGATATACATAAATACTCAGTCCATAAAATAATGAGATCTTTTACACAACTAAAGTGTGATGAGAGAACTCACATCATCAGGCACAGTATAAGGATAAACTGAATTTCGCTTAGCAAGTTTCTGAACATATTTGAGGCCAAATTTCTTTGGCATCATACTGTCCTTCAGTGGAGCCAATACATCAGCATACTGCTTCTCCAAAGCTTCAATCACTGCTTTCTCAATATCTGCAATAGCCTATTTAATTGAAAAGGCAAAAAAGGTCAGTCTATAATTACGATGGAATCAGATGTCCAAAAGTAATGTTTAGACTTACAACTTCAAGATAAGAAGTGTACTCTGGCCAACGGCAGATGATGACCTCAAACTCATTCAATGTCTCTTTCAGTCGGTCATACATGTCATCCACAAAAGGAGTGGTCATATGTTGTGTACAAACTCCTGACCATTTTACCTGGTAATCAAATATCAAATGAACAAGAAACGTCAAGGGAAATGCTTATTACAAGTTCTAGAAACATCATACAGTATAGAAGCATGTAGTAATAATCAAAAGGAGATCTTAAAGAAGAGACAGAAGATATTTTTGAAGCACAACAATATATTGGCCTGACATGGAAAAAACAAGAAATTTCTTACAGAAAAAAATAAAATAATCAATACATATTTAGATTACTAATTAGAAATGTGGTCATCAGCTGAAACATCAAGATTCTCATTGCCATCAGCTAATGTCACACTACTTTATCAGTTCTAAACAAAAGCAGATGCTACAGGCATAAATTAGTTCAAAACAAAATATAAAAGATAACCACAATAAATGGAACACACTTAAATTGAAAGGAATTAAGAATGGGCATTTGATTCAATCAATGACATCAAACAGATGGATGAGTGGGTGAGGCAGAGACCAAGGCCACACAATAAAGAACAATTTGAATGGTTCTGTTTAACCAAGGCTCAATAGAAGTTCTTAGTGCGAAAAACTGTATCAGTGCAGTAAGTGCTTATTGTATAATGTAATATTAGACTTCTGTTCTGGCAGTTAAGGCCATCATCATTATCAAACATGTGAACTCAGTTTTTTCGTTGAAACAAGGCCCCTATAGATTCCTCAATTATATAGGCAAGTTCATCAGGAACAGTTGCGCAAAGAGAGATGGAGAAAAACTGAAAAAAAACAATAAATAGAGATTTGATGGCCTATAGTTTAGCTAATGTTATATTCCTTAGAAAACAATGGTAGGAAAGTGCACATAAATTCAGTACAATTTTAGAAAAATGTCAAAGCAACTTAAGATATTCAAGGTACCTTATCTAATTTGCAAGATTCAAGTAATGCAAGGCGTTTATCCTTTATCCATAACATGATATACAAGTGGAACAACTCTTTTGCATCAACACCACCTTTGACAGGACTGTGGAAGATAAAGACGTATAAGTCAAAGGCATATGAGGAAAGAAAGTAAAAAATATATAACAATAGCAAATTTTACCAGATATTCCAGCTACAGAGATCTTTTTGGAAATCTGCAGTTGCAATAACAAGATCTGCCACAGGTGGTGAAGGGCCACTAGGAGGGCATGCAACAAGAAAGGCCCGCAATCTACTATGGAGCTCAACATCATAAATGGATGCAGATAGATTTGGCAAGTCTAGAAAGCTGTAAGAGCAAGACAAACACATTGAATAGTTATAAATGTTAATCTGAAGAGCCAAGGCATTATATTAGTGATAAATACTTTGAATATGAATGAAAACTTAAGCTACAAAATTGTAAGAAAATAAAACTATCGACAGTTTGAATGCAGAAAGATGCAGAAAAACAAACTGATCAATATCTCAATACAAGACCAACAATAACACATTATTTCTATAACTTCAACTTAAATTAGATGTAGTCTTTATATGTTCTTGAAGTTCCTTGGTGCTTTTGTGGTAAACTACAACAACTGTCATGGGATTATAGCAACTTAAAAATTAGAGAGGGTATAATTACCAGAAACACAGGTTGATGTAATAGAAAAAAAACTGAGAAAGGAAAAATTGACCAACCTTGGAAGCACATGTTGATTATGGATTTCAATGTCAGTAAAAATTTCATTTCGGATATTGAAGCACAGCGTCCTCATCTTCTGATATGCAGTAGAAAAGCCAACAACATCCATCCTACTTGCTTCATTATTGCTTGCTATATACTCATCAGTTTCAAGCAAGTGTCTTCTTGATCTCTTCTTGGCAGCAGTCTGAAAAAATATATATTTTAATGATTGATAAAAGTTTCCAAACTGTAGTGCAGAAAGCACCATTTTGAACTATGTTTCCAGACCTGAAAATAACTGCATAGCTTCAGCTGTGCCTCTGGAGACAGTATATCATGAAGAAGTGTGAATAACTTCATAGCAGGTATCAATGCTGGTGCAGGAGACCCAGTGGCAGGCCTAAAAACTTCGGACATTCCCGAGGGTAAGGATTCATCCAAGGACTTGTAATTCTCAAATACCATAGCAAGAACTTGCTCAACTTGCTCCTGTGTTTCTCCTAGAATGCGGTTCTAATACAATGCAGACGATAGTTCATGTCAATACACAGGCCACAAAATCATAACTCAAACTAATGAATCAGAAGCACAATGAAGCTAAACAAGAAGGAAAAATGGCCATATATATGTAACATAGTCATAAGACATGATTGATAAATAAAAATAATATTATATTAATAGTCTTGCCACAAGAATGCATTTATATCTGGAAACTGCAACCTAGTTGCAATTATCTCTGCACATCATAAAGAGCAATAAGCATTTGTGATAAAAAAAAGCAGAATATTTCATCTTTTTTCATAAGAACAGCAAAAATATTCCACAATGTAGTGTAAAACTGATGTCAAAATGCCAAAACAAGCATAGTATATCTAGTAGTTT